CCTTGGTTTCTGCCTAACCTATCATTAAAAAATATAATAATATAAGCCATTAAATTATATCTAGTTATTGACTAATGGGTCTGCAAAAGATCACTGACTTCTAACCTGTAGAAATAGCACAAAACTTTAAGTATGATGTCAAAGCTCTAGCTGTCTGCCCACCTCTGTGCAAAAGATAGATAAAATTATTAAGTGAGCCTCTTTCTCTAGCATAATAGCATAAAAACATCTTAAAAAAGCTGACTTGTCTTTTAAGTATTGAGAGACTCTGTTCTGTATATATCATCATTGTGTTTGGTAGGGAGCCATTTCTTGGGTGTTTCACGGCAACTGCACCTGTTTTACTATTCATTTCAACAAGAATAGGGGAGTGTCTTGTTAAAAAAAATTCCCCATATACCACTGCAGCCATTTTAGTTTCCTGAAGAACACCAGTGAAGATTTTCTCCATTCTCCCTTTGATACACGTATGCCTATAAGTTTATTTACTGTGTTTGTTAAAGTTATGTATATATCCAGATTGCATTTAAATGTATTTAATGTGATTTGTAGGTAGCTGTTTGCAAGAAATGTGTTCATTGTATGCATTTGTGAGAGACATGTATACAAGCTTATTGTAATAATTATTATTATTATTATTATTGTTTTTATTATTATTATTATTATTTGTATTGCGGATTTACAGATCTATTCACTGAAGTAAATGCAGCTATGGAATGAAACTCAATGCTGTGTTTTGTTAGCCAGCTGTTGGCTAAACATTAGTAGGACAGCACAGGCGGCATAAAACTTATAATATAATAGTAAACCTACCCATAGACATAAAATTGGTTTTGATCAAAAAATAATAATATTTCTAAGGGATACATCCAACCTGTGCAGACACCTCCTGACAAACCAGTCCCTTGTAAAGAATTGTTCATCTGGGATATTTTTTGCTTAAATATTGCTGGTGTGTCCCATGGAAAAGGCAAGGTTCGGTCCTTCTGTTGAAGAATCATCATTATATGTAACCACTGTCATAATTCAATGGATACTGTGGTGGAACTATAGCTGAACAGTCAAATATATTTTACATTTATATTCCTGAAATGCCACTTGCCAATGGATTTGTAACTCTTGTCTTTGAAGGTCTTATGGATGACATGCTTGCAGTCACCTCCTGATGCCTACTTTAGCCTTCTATGTCAGCTGTACAGAAGTTTCTGTCAAATGTGACAGGTTTGATTAAAACCTCATATTTACCTTCCTCCATTAGCTGGTTGTGTACATTATTAAGGATAAGAGAGCCCTATAATAAATAGAAAAATGAACTGAGATGTTGCACCTCATATCTGGTTCATTCAATACTAGCAGCCCTAAAATGGGGATTTCTATGCCTAAATTCACCATGCATTGCTGGTTTGTTGCTGAAAAGGGCATTCTGTAATTCTTGATTGACAGCCCTGGGCTCCCTCACTCATTTTTTTATACAGTCACTGGAAAAGCAGGGGAGTGTTTGGGCACTTACAGGAGAGGTGGGGAGGTGTGGTGTGGACAGTTGCTACAGACTCCAAGTAATTATGCTGGTGCCATGATCATGAAGGACACAAAATCATGGATGAGGAAAGACATCAGTATAACTGCCATTTGTCACAGGTGATGTCCGTGCTATTTATACCTGGAATCCAAGAAAAAGTTAGGGTAGAAAAAAAAATTATTTTAGGCTGAACTCTGGAAAACTAAGAATCTTCTCTTGTAGTAAGGCTGTGCCCTCTGTGCAAATATTGTTTGCTTGTTTATGCCTTGGAGACTGTGACAGGCAGTTTTACTTACCTGATCTTCTGCTCCTGCAGCCTCCTCCATGCTGCTAGACTGGTCCCCACAGCTTCCTCTCCCCTGCACTCCAGCAGTCTAAGGTTCTCTGAAGTCATCAAGACCAATGCAGTGCTCACAGCCCTGCATCAGATGTGAGGGCAGCGAGGGACAGTCCACTGCTGAACAGTAGAGGAGTGCCATCTGCCAGGGGTGAGAAGGATTAGGTAAGTAAAAGTGCTTTTCTGTCCCCTGGACTAAACAAGCAGTTAACCCTTCCATTCGGAGTGCAGCCCCACTGTAAGTCTAGGTTCACATCTAAGCGTTTACCACAGCATTTTGCAGAAATGCACTACCTGATTTCCTATGGGACACATTCACATCTCCGTGTTTTCACCCTTTCCCATTTTTTGGAAAGGGTCAGGGACTTTTTTAAATGCAAAAAGTTGCATTTTTGGCTTTATAGACATCAATGGAAATGCTGCAGAAAAGCACGTAGTGTGTTTTTGCTGTCTTTCACGTGTTTTGATGCGTTTTGCATTTTAATGTGCCTAGCAACAAGAAAACAAAATTTTAAAAACAAAACGCATCAAAAATGCATGTGCAGAAATGTAACATGCACGCAAAAAGCACTGCAGATATGGATCAAACACAAACTGCATAGGTGTGAACCTTGCCTGAGATAGGATTTTTTTAGCCTTCCTGAGTTCAGATTTAAAAATGACTTAGAGAAGAAAGAAGCATAATTACATAAATCAAGTAAATGTGGATAAAGGTAGGACCAAGACTATAATCTACACTCACTGATTACTTTATTAGGTACTCCTGTTCAAATTCTTGGTAACACAAATTGCTAATCAGCCAATCACATGGTAGCAACTCAATGCATTTAGGCATCTAAATGTGGTGATGATGACTGGAGTTCAAACCCAGTATCAGAATGGGCAAGAAAGGGGATTAAAGTGACTTTGAACGTGGCATGGTTGTTGGTGCCAGACGGGCTGCTCTGAGTATTTCTGAGTTTAATTGTAGGGGGCTTGCCACTGCAAATGAGTTTTTTAGAGAGAGCACCTATCCTGTAATATAATTTTTTGGTACCCAAATGATGTTTTGTAATAATATATGGCAGTTGGGGTAACCATACAACCCCAATTCCAAAAAAGTTGAGACGCTGTGTAAAATATATCTAAAACCCAAATGCAATGATTTGCAAATGTCATAAACCCACATTTTATTCACAACAGAAATAGAAAACAAATGTTTGAGAGAAAATGTACCATTTTCACCAAAGCCCCCCAACAGGGCTGCTAAAAAAATTATAAAAAATAATACAATTATAAAAAGTAATGAAAAAAAAATAAAATAAACTACTGACACTGTCCACTACCGTTTTGACACCAAGCCCTGCTCATAGTAGTAGAATCCAGGTTCTTAACTGGCCTGCCTGCAGTCCATACCTTTCACCATATGAAAATATTTGACACTCTTGAAATGAAAAATACAACAAAGACTCAGGACTGTTAAGTATCTGGAATGCTCTATTAGGCAAGAATGGAACAACATTCCTCTCTCAAAACTCCAGCAACTGGTCTCTTCAGTTCCCAGACTTTTACAGAGTGTTGCTAAAAGAAGAAGGGATACTACACCATAGTAAACATGGCCCTGTTCCAACTTTTTTGAGATGCGTTGCTGCCATTAATTTCAAAATTGCTTTATTTTTTCTTGAAATGATAAATTTTCCTCAGTAAAAACATTTGATATATTTTCTATTTTCTAATGTGCATAAAATATAAAATATGGTTCATGAGATTTGCAAATCATTGCATTCTGTTATTATGTAGATTTTTACACTGCTGTTTTGGATGTGGTCACTTACCGACCACAGCTGTTGTGATCTACCAGTGAGCCTAATTAATGTGAGAATACGTGCATGTGGAAGTAAGACACTGGCACTTTGCAGTTTGCCAACTTTCTAAAATTCTATTTTATTGAGGAACTAACAGTAACATTTATAGTTCTCATGATGCAGGCAAAGCATATACATTGATTGGGTGAAAAGTCCACTAGGTTTCTGTGTGTTCTTTCATCCGTGTTGATATCTTCCAATCATTGTCACCAAAACGACTCATTCCCTTTTATGGGGGTTGTTTACGTTAAAAGATACTTTTCTTCTAATGAGTCACCTAGGGTGAGACTCCGGATGAAGGCGCCATCTTAATTATTAGAGATGAGTGAAGTATTCAAAAATTCGATTCGGCTGATTCGGCGAATTCGCGGAATAAATTCGATTCGAGTCGAATATATTCGCTGCGAATTTAACTTATAAAAAGGGTGTTTCTAGGCTTCAGAGAGCCTTTATATTAGTGCAGAACACTGTACCTTTAATTTAAATGCCCTTGGAGTCTGCTGGGGAAGAGAAATAATACTGTCAGTCAGTATGACATGCAGATGAGTGCCGTCGATCTTAGAATCACCGCACACTTCACTCATTTGGGCAGTCACGGGGCCAAAACCAGAGTGTGGAGCCACAGTGTGGCGGTGGAGGCAGCAGCAATGGGAGGCCATACAGCACCCTATGACAAAATGGAACCCACCAGCAGTGTGAGGAGACCTGAAAGTGGCACATGGCAGAGTGTGGCGATGGAGACAGCAGCAATGGGAGGCCGTACAGGGACCCATGAGACACTCTGGACCTGGCAGCAGCATGAGGAGGCGGTACGGGGGCCCATGGCAGATTACGGGCCTGGCAGCAGCAATGGGAGGCCCGTAATCTGCCAGCACCCTATGACAAAATGGAACCCACCAGCAGTGTGAGGAGACCTGAAAGTGGCACATGGCAGAGTGTGTGGCGATGGAGACAGCAGCAATGGGAGGCCGTACAGGGACCCATGAGACACTCTGGACCTGGCAGCAGCATGAGGAGGCGGTACGGGGGCCCATGGCAGATTACGGGCCTGGCAGCAGCAATGGGAGGCCCGTAATCTGCCAGCACCCTATGACAAAATGGAACCCACCAGCAGTGTGAGGAGACCTGAAAGTGGCACATGGCAGAGTGTGGCAATGGAGACAGCAGCAATGGGAGGCCGTACAGGGACCCATGAGACACTCTGGACCTGGCAGCAGCATGAGGAGTCGGTACGGGGGCCCATGGCAGATTACAGGCCTGGCAGCAGCAATGGGAGGCCCGTAATCTGCCAGCACCCTATGACAAAATGGAACCCACCAGCAGTGTGAGGAGACCTGAAAGTGGCACATGGCAGAGTGTGGCGATGGAGACAGCAGCAATGGGAGGCCGTACAGGGACCCATGAGACACTCTGGACCTGGCAGCAGCATGAAGAAGCGGTACAGGGGCCCATGACAGATTACGGGCCTGGCAGCAGCATGAGGAGTCGGTACGGGGGCCCATGGCATATTACGGGCCTGGCAGCAGCAATGGGAGGCCCGTAATCTGCCAGCACCCAATGACAAAATGGAACCCACCAGCAGTGTGAGGAGACCTGAAAGTGGCACATGGCAGAGTGTGGCAATGGAGACAGCAGTAATGGGAGGCAGTACAGGGACCCATGAGACACTCTGGACCTGGCAGCAGCATGAGGAGGCGGTACGGGGGCCCATGGCAGATTACGGGCCTGGCAGCAGCAATGGGAGGCCCGTAATCTGCCAGCACCCTATGACAAAATGGAACCCACCAGCAGTGTGAAGAGACCTGAAAGTGGCACATGGCAGAGTGTGGCGATGGAGACAGCAGCAATGGGAGGCCGTACAGGGACCCATGAGACACTCTGGACCTGGCAGCAGCAAGAGGAGGCGGTACAGGGGCCCATGGCAGAGTGGCGAAGCGTAAGCAGCTTAAATTGAAGGCCATACAGAGGCCTATGTTAAAAATAATAACATGTTTGGGGCATGATTCATGGCGGATTTAGTCAGTTGTGTCAGGAACTGGTGGTTTGAAATCCAGACTAATCCACGCCTGATTCATTTTCACAAACGTGAGTCTCTCCATACTTTGGGTGGACAGTCGTGTCCTCCGTGGAGTTACAATACCTCCTGCCGCACTAAACACGCGCTCCGATGCCACGCTACTGGCCGGGCATGACAGCCTTTCAAGGGCAAATTCAGCTAGTTGGGGCCAAAGGTCAAGTTTCGTTGCCCAGTAGTCAAGGGGATTGTCTACCTCGGTTGGCAGGGTGCTGTCCAAGTAGGCCCAAGCCTGTTGTTTGAGGTCCTGCTCCAGGTCCACCTGATGCTGCTGCTGCTGCGGCTGGTTAGTAGTTTCCTCACTGCGCTGGTGAAGAAAGCTACTCATCATCGACTGCAGACTGAGGCAGCCGCTGCTGGTGGAGCTGCCACTGCTCCTACCACCCCACCCCTCCCCTGCTGCCATGGCAGCGGAACGCGAGCGCACAGGGCCCACAGTGTCTGAGGATGGACGTTGGCGCAGAAAGGCAGAGACCAACTGACTACATAGGTGGTTTTTATAGTACGTTATTTTGGCCTCCCTCTCAGCAGGTGTGAAAAAGGCCACCATTTTTGAATGGTAGCGAGGGTCCAACAAGGTGGACAGCCAAAAGTCATCCCTCTGTCTGATGGTTATTATTCGGCTGTCGCTACGCAAGCAACCGAGCATGCTATGGGCCATTTGTGCCAAGGAATGCGAGGGACTCCCTGCCTCCATCTCCAACGCATACTGCCACGGTGCGTCTGGGTCCTCTGTCTCCTCCTCCTCCTCTACGAGATGCTCCTGCTCCTCCACTCCTGTCCGCTGAGTGGAAAAACCACCCATTTCACTCAATAATTCCTGAGCACCAATGTCCTCCTCTACCTCCTCCTCTTCTTCCTGTCCTGCCCCCACAGGGGTCATGTGGCGTTGAGATCTGTGCGCCACGTCTACCGCACCCTGACCAGCCATTGTTAACAGCATTTGTTCCAGGACATGCAACAGAGGAATGACGTTGTTCATCCCATAGTCCTGCCGACTCACGAATAGCGTGGCCTCCTCAAAGGGCCTGAGCAAGCGGCAGGTGTCACGCATGAGCTGCCAATGGCTGACATCTAAGTTACACAGGGGAGTACCTTTATCCGCTTGTAACATCAGGAAATCGGTGATGGCCTTTCGCTGTTCGTAAAGGCGGTCTAACATATGTAGGGTTGAATTCCACCTTGTTGCAACGTCACAGCATGAGGAGTCGGTACGGGGGCCCATGGCAGATTACGGGCCTGGCAGCAGCAATGGGAGGCCCGTAATCTGCCAGCACCCTATGACAAAATGGAACCCACCAGCAGTGTGAGGAGACCTGAAAGTGGCACATGGCAGAGTGTGGCGATGGAGACAGCAGCAATGGGAGGCCGTACAGGGACCCATGACACACTCTGGACCTGGCAGCAGCATGAGGAGGCGGTACAGGGGCCCATGACAGATTACAGGCCTGGCAGCAGCATGAGGAGTCGGTACGGGGGCCCATGGCAGATTACGGGCCTGGCAGCAGCAATGGGAGGCCCGTAATCTGCCAGCACCCTATGACAAAATGGAACCCACCAGCAGTGTTAGGAGACCTGAAAGTGGCACATGGCAGAGTGTGGCGATGGAGACAGCAGCAATGGGAGGCCGTACAGGGACCCATGAGACACTCTGGACCTGGCAGCAGCATGAGGAGGCGGTACAGGGGCCCATGACAGATTACGGACCTGGCAGCAGCATGAGGAGGCGGTACGGGGCCCATGGCAGATTACGGGCCTGGCAGATGACGACGAGGCTGCCAAGTGCGATCAGCCTCATCATCATCAATTAGGGTCTCCGCCTCACTACTAGCCCCCTCAGCTGCGTGTGGGTCAGGAGACAGACCTGTCTCTAGACCGGCTACCGAGCCACTCTCCTCGCCAGTACTTCTTCGCCTGGCTGCTGAAGAGGCGGATGTCTCCCCCCGTTCCTGACCGCCCTCTGTTAGCTCTTCCTCACTGTACAGTGGGGCTGAGCCCACAGCATGCGATACTTCGCTTGGTGAGGGAACACCAAAGGACAGGGGCAGGTAGAGGACATGTGATTTCAGTGGGCTTGCTCCCAGGCCATGCCAACTAACGGTTGTGTCTGACGTACCCACCGACCGTTGGCTGTAGGTGTCAGAGGTGACCTGGGAAGAGGACGACGACCGAGCCAACCAATCGATGACGGCAGGGTTGTCGGTGGAGACACGACCGCTGGATGACACCGGGACCACTGGCCTCTGGCTGCGACTAGTGCTGCCTCGACCCCTTCCTCTGCTGCCACGTCTGCTCACTCCTGAAACATTGCCTCCTCTACCACTCCTCTGCGTGTTGTCTGACATACTCTTTAATTCAACAACGATTCTGTGTCCCTGAGTAACAATTCTGTGTCCCTGAGTAACAATTCTGTGTCCCTGAGTAACAATTCTGTGTCCCTCAGTAACGATTCTGTGTCCCTCAGTAACAATTCTGTGTCCCTGAGTAACAATTCTGTGTCCCTGAGTAACAATTCTGTGTCTGTCCCTGAGTAACAATTCTGTGTCCCTCAGTAACAATTCTGTGTCCCTGAGTAACAATTCTGTGTCTGTCCCTGAGTAACAATTCTGTGTCCCTGAGTAACAATTCTGTGTCCCTCAGTAACAATTCTGTGTCCCTGAGTAACAATTCTGTGTCCCTGAGTAACAATTCTGTGTGTGTCCCTGAGTAACAATTCTGTGTCCCTGAGTAACAATTCTGTGTCCCTCAGTAACAATTCTGTGTCCCTGAGTAACAATTCTGTGTCCCTGAGTAACAATTCTGTGTCTGTCCCTGAGTAACAATTCTGTGTCCCTCAGTAACAATTCTGTGTCCCTGAGTAACAATTCTGTGTCTGTCCCTGAGTAACAATTCTGTGTCCCTGAGTAACAATTCTGTGTCCCTCAGTAACAATTCTGTGTCCCTCAGTAACAATTCTGTGTCTGTCCCTGAGTAACAATTCTGTGTCCCTGAGTAACAATTCTGTGTCCCTCAGTAACAATTCTGTGTCCCTCAGTAACAATTCTGTGTCTGTCCCTGAGTAACAATTCTGTGTCCCTGAGTAACAATTCTGTGTCCCTCAGTAACAATTCTGTGTCCCTCAGTAACAATTCTGTGTCCCTCAGTAACAATTCTGTGTCTGTCCCTGAGTAACAATTCTGTGTCCCTGCGTAACAATTCTGTGTCCCTCAGTAACAATTCTGTGTCCCTCAGTAACAATTCTGTGTCTGTCCCTGAGTAACAATTCTGTGTCCCTAAGTAACAATTCTGTGTCCCTGAGTAACAATTCTGTGTCCCTGAGTAACAATTCTGTGTCTGTCCCTGAGTAACAATTCTGTGTCCCTCAGTAACAATTCTGTGTCCCTCAGTAACAATTCTGTGTCTGTCCCTGAGTAACAATTCTGTGTCCCTGAGTAACAATTCTGTGCCCCTGAGTAACAATTTTGTGTCCCTCAGTAACAATTCTGTGTCCCTTAGTAACAATTCTGTGTCCCTCAGTAACAATTCTGTGTCTGTCCCTGAGTAACAATTCTGTGTCCCTGAGTAACAATTCTGTGTCCCTCAGTAACAATTCTGTGTCCCTCAGTAACAATTCTGTGTCTGTCCCTGAGTAACAATTCTGTGTCCCTGAGTAACAATTCTGTGTCCCTCAGTAACAATTCTGTGTCCCTCAGTAACAATTCTGTGTCTGTCCCTGAGTAACAATTCTGTGTCCCTCAGTAACAATTCTGTGTCCCTCAGTAACAATTCTGTGTCCCTGAGTAACAATTCTGTGTCCCTGAGTAACAATTCTGTGTCCCTCAGTAACAATTCTGTGTCTGTCCCTGAGTAACAATTCTGTGTCCCTGAAAAAACAATTCTGTGTCCCTGAGTAACAATTCTGTGTCCCTCAGTAACAATTCTGTGTCTGTCCCTGAGTAACAATTCTGTGTCCTTGATTAACAATTCTGTGTCCCTGAGTAACGATTCTGTGTCCCTAAGTAACGATTCTGTGTCCCTAAGTATCGATTCTGTGGCCCTAAAGTCTCTCTGGCCCTAACTCTGTCCCTAATACAGCCAGGTCTGTCTCTCTTGAATGACTGCAGGCTAATGGAGAATTGTAAGATGGCCGCAATTTATAGCTCCACCATTACACAGTGCTGGCTGGCTGGCTGCTGATTGGCTAATGCGATCACATGTCATGAATGAATGCATTATGGGTCAGCGGGCCTTGTCTGCGCGCCTTCCCAGAGATCCCCGCTCCGTCGCCACACATGTCGCCGCCATTTTTGGGAAAATTCGATTCGTGCTTCCGAAGTTGGCTAATTTTCGGATTCGGCGCGAATCGAATATTTCCCAATATTCGAAACGAATTCCACTTCGCCATGTTCGATTCGCTCATCTCTATTAATTATCATTGTTCTGTTGCCCTATATCTGATTGTTTTCTTAAGAGAGTAAGGAATTTAAAGAGCAAGAAGCAGAAAGTAGCAAGACTATAAAATTGTCATTTTACTGATCATCTAATAGAACATGGACTGTCTATCACAATCCACTACACTGCGTCCCAACTTGTTTGGAATTTGGGTTGTAACATTTTTACTAGATTCACCCTTCTGAACGTTGTTTTTCCAATGCTGTCTAAAAGAAAAAATAAGTGGCATACCTTTGTACAAGCTCATCTTTACCAGCCAATTGTGACTGTAAACTAGGAATAGACTAGGAAGCATGCAGATCTAAAGTGATTCTGGGGATTCTTTCTCATAACTGTTTGCAAAGCACCCTATGTCTAAGAACAAGTTTATCAAAAAGAACAATATTTACCAGCA